CATCTTTAAAATTAAAAATTAAAAAAAAAAAACCACTATAAAAAAGGGATTGGAGCCGGGCTCGGTGGCTCAGCCTGTAATCCCGCGCCTTTGGGAGGCTGAAGTGAGTGGATTGCCGGAGCCCGTAGGTTCGAGCCCCGCCTGGGCAGCGAGACCTCATCTCTACAATAAATCAAAAAATCAGCCGGGCGTGGTAGCGCATGTCTGTAATTCCAGCTACTTGGAAGGTTGAGGTTGAAGGATCACTGAAGCCCAGCAGGTCGACGCTGCAGTGGCTGGAAGCGGCCACAGCACTCCAGTCTGGACGACAGAGTGAGACTCCAACTCAAAAAAAAAAAAAAAAAGGGATTGGCAGTAGAGGGAAACTGCCGGGGGTGGGGAGGTGGAGGTCACACTTCATCAATAAGGGTACCTGATCTCAAACCAGGTGAGGTAGGGACCAAAGTGAGGCCCAGACTTTACCTATACAATGACCATTGGTATAGCTAATCCTGAATTGTACCCCATATCCTTAAAATAAATAATAATAATAAAAATAAAGAAATTTGGCTGGGCTTGGTGGCTCACAACTATAATCCCAGCACTTTGGGAGGTCAAGGTAGGAGGATCGATTGGGCCCAGAAGTTTGAGCCTGGCCTATGCAACAAAGCAAGACTCCATCTCTACAAAGATATTTAAAAATTCACCAGGCGTGCTGGTGTGCACCTGCAGTCCCAGCTACTTAGAAGGCTGCGTGAGGCCCTAATACTTTCATTTTCCTGTTAGGTCATGTTCCATTGCATGGGCATGCTGCAATTTACTTATCCACTCTTCAACAGATGGTCTTTGATTTAAAATTTTTATTCTTATACATAACACTGCTACAAATGTTCTTATACACGTAGGCAAAAGATCAACCAGAGTTTATTACCAGAAACACAAATGCTGAGTCATGGCTGTTGCTGGGTTATCTGCAGATTGACTGTGTTAGATGTTGACAGCTTGTCCTTCACAGTGGTTTCG